AAAAATTTTTTACTTGGGCTAGTCAGAAATACATTTCAATGAATACGAAAAACAAAGCATTTTACCTATGTTTACCTTGTTATTGGTCCTTATATTATATTTTATGAATTCATTATATGAAATCTCTAACACATTTGCTAATTGAAGGCAGGAAGTGTCAAGTAAGATTACTGATTACTTCACTGCACACTTCCTGAAATAAGATCCTTTCTAGACAAACGCGTGCCAAATTAAAAATAATCTGAAAGCGAAAGATAAATTGGGAGGAAACCGTGATTCGAAATATCGATTTCTTATTAGGAGTCATTTAAATAAGATAAATTTCACAATCGAATTATTATGTATCTATTAAAAACTTATTCTATCTGCTTTACTGCTCTTGTTCATAATATTGAATTGTAATTCTTATAATCTCAGATTGAAAATCATTAACCTCTGAAACACCTATTGTTGATACTTTGTGTTCTGACTGTCGGTTTTTAAAAAAATTATAATAGGAAATAGTTAAGGTTCAGAAAGCAATTAAATCACATCTAATTATTCGAAATATGTTAATGAATGAAAATCATAATAATATATTTTCGAAATATTCGCCATCAGCCGGAAAGAATAGTTAAGAGGATTTTCAGAGCTATCCGTCTGAAATTTTCTTCAGTTACTCTAGGAAGAAAGATTTATGTTCTGTCCCTGCAATTTTCTGCAAAAATTCTTAAAAAGAATTTTTTTTTTCAACCTTAAAATTTTTAAACCAATCAGAGTATTTAAGATACCCTGTATAGAAAAAAGATATGTTGAAAGATATGTATGTTAAAAAAAAAAAATAATAATTTAATTTTTTTTTTTTTTTTAAGTAATGACCAAACGCAAACATTCTAAGTTATATTTTTTATAACTAATAAATATTATTCATGCAAGTTATTAACAGAAACTATCTAACAATCAACTTTCTATCGGCGATTCCCATCATTTTTATGCTGGAATAATTAATATTCCTCGATTCGGTAAAATAGTTAAGTTTTGAAAGATTTATTGGTATTACACGTGCCCAATAAATTCTTAGATGAACACTTAAACATTTATGCTTTTTCTTTCATTTTGCATTGTTAGAAAGGGGGAAAAATCTCCCTCCTGTAATTTACTGATTTTGTTTCATTTAAAGTTTTAAAAAATTGGTTACTTCAAATGTAGTTTCAATTTTGATCCTTCAAAAAAAAGCAACTAAAATTTCAAAAACTATGAAGTATTTTTAAAAAATCTAAACTTTTCGCACTTTGCAATGTTTTTCTAACTAAGAATCCATGCAAAGCTTGTGACTAAAGTACTTTTTCAAATTGCATTTAAATTCTTTAAAAAAAGACTTTAACCAAAATCGACTTCTGCTTTTTGTGCTTTAATTTGCTCACTATTTGTGCATCAATTTGCCACCCTTTTCTAACTTTGTTCAATGTAAATTTACATAATTAACAGGAATAGATGTATAATACCTTAAGGCGCAATCAGATTTTTTCTTTCTTCCTCATTATAATGAATGATAATCTTGTTTTTCGGTAACGTAAGAACATGCGTACGTAAGTAGTATGAAATTTTTATAATTTTTGAGCTTTTTTATATACACTGATATTCAATTACATTTTTGTAGAAATTTGTCTGGATTTTGAACAAGCAGGATGAATTAAACAAATACTTTACTCACATCTGATTTTTCTTCTTTTTTTTAATTAAAAATTATGAATAATAGGCGTATTTTTCTATAGCATAATATACAGAATATACGTACTTAATTTTATTAAATTTGGAATTTAAGAAATAAAGACCATTGGTTTGCTTTGCCCAGTTGCCAGTTGGGCATCCAATTAGTTAGTTATTGAAATCTTATTGAATTAGACTGGGTGGGTATTGTAATCACGGATCTTAAACAGGAGGAAACTATGTCGGATTCTTTACAAAAATAATAACTAAATTTAGATCATACAATAAAATTTAAAAAAAAAAAAACATTTTAAATATTGCTTTTACCATTTCCTTAATCTTCTCAATTCTCTATATTTTTTATTTATTGCAATTTTTCATATCATTCTTCAGAGCTTAGAAAACCCCCAATTGATTTTAAGTGCTGCACTTAATTATATCATTCATAGCACAGTAGTTAGCACAGTTTCTTCTCTATTTTGTGACAGCAAACAGTAGCCAGATCAAACAATTAGAGCGATCGAAAAACACGTCTATCATTCGTCATGGCTGAAACAAAGAAAAAAGCAGATTGTGGCTAAAAGCATTTGACATCTACCCCTGGCAGGTGTTCGATCGTTGCCTTGAGCAGGGCTACGTTCCACTTTGGATAGTCTACCTTCACCATTCTTTAGATATCGAGAACTAAATGCCTTGAGACCAATCAAATATGCAAACACATGAAACGTTCTTTTTTTAAGTGAAAGTTGGAGTTGATGTAGAGCAGGGAAATTCATTTAGATTCACTAAAGTCTCTAATTATGATATAAGTGCTAGAATCAAAAGTGAATTTTGAAAAGAAATGGCAACATCGAATGTAGAACATAGAATTAAAAAGTGTATTAAAAGCGAATGTGTCATATATTGATAGGATTTTACATCTATTGAAAAAAGGATTAGCTTGATTTCGTCTACATAATACGCTTGTATTGATTGAACCCATTAATGCCGATCATACACTTTCAGATACAATTATACAAGAGAATCAATAAGCTCAGAGAAATTTTTTTTCGACAAAATTATTTCGAAAAAACAAATTTTTTGCAATTTTTTAGCTTTTAACCAGTTTTCAATTTTATAAATTTCAACAAATATCAAGTATTTGTGATAATGTTGTCGTTTCTACTTTTAGGCACTAAGCTAGAGTCAATTTCACTCCAGCTGAAAATTTTGAAGTTTTTTTTCTTTGTGTTTGAAAAAAATATATTCTCGAACCATTTTACGGGATTTGTTCCGTATGAGTATTTTTATATATACTAGAAACTTAAGAGCAAATTTATATCGGAAAATCGAATTTTTTGGATAATCGGGAAACGTTTTAAAATCGATTATTTAAAACATGAATTTTAAACTATATGTAAAATTACAAAACTGAATATTAATAATTGCAGTCGGGTGAGTCATAGCACTACCATCACATTCCGATTCATCACTGTTTGAATCAAACTTAACATGGTGATGAGACTGAAAAAAAATTTATATTCTTTTTCCTGATTGTTTAATGAAATTTTCATGTGACATCATCTTAAAATTAAAAAAAATAGCTTATATTCACAAAAAAGTATTCTGAAACTTAAGAATCAAACTGAAAAAAATCTAATCCATTAACATTAAAAATCCAAGAAATTATTACATTTCTCTGATTGATCCTAAGATTTGAAATGAATTTCTACATTTTAAAATAGCAGAACTCCACAGGAAGCTTCAAAAACCATTTCTAGAGATTATTACATGGAAATAAATTCGATTAAAAATAATCATAACTTCATGTCACGTCAGAATGACCTTAAAACCTCATAAAAGTGTTTAAAGTTTCACATCTCAATTTATAAAATTTATTCGAATAAAAAGTATCTCTGTTTCGATCTGTCTTCTTTGACCTCGCAATCTTCATTCACGGCCTTCAGTGGTATTTTTCACATGACCAAAAGAAACAAGGAAATCTGGCAATAAATTGATGAAGAGTAATAAAACGATAATATAAAAATAAAATGGCTCATACAATTTTGTCGAAAATAAACGTCCTCCACGGGTCTTAAATTTTTTTTTTTTTTTTCAGAAGGAGAAATATTTATTTAAATTTTTTTCACCTTTATCCATGGAACTTTGCTATTGTTTTCTATTTCCATGTTTGTGAAGGGATTTGTTTTGTAAGCAGATTATAGAATGATGTCAGCTGCATTCCTAAGAATATGTGCTGACCTTTTGAATTAAATTAAAATATTTAACTTGAAAGAACGACTGGATTAACTTCAAAGATGTTGTGTCTTTTTTTTCACAATGCGTGGTTTTTTTTTAAAGCTAGGATTCAACTTCTACTAGACAGAATCTTATTCGGCATAAATTCTTCCATGGGCAGAATCATTTTTGGCACAAAATTTCTCATAAGCAGAATCTCTTGCAGCACGGAATCTTCCATGAGTATAACTTCATCTGGTACAAAATCAGTCATGGGCAGTTCTTGTTTCATAGAATCTCCTATGGGCAGAGTCTCTTAAGATGCAGAATCTTAAATAAGCAAAAAATCGCGTCCCTGAACTTCTGTTGTCACATAACCCTGTCGACACTGTCTCTTTCAAAACAAATTCTCTTGATGTTGAAATCACTTCAAGAAAAAAATTACTTAATGATACATAATCACTCATAGGACAAAATCTCTTCCGCGGCAAAATCTCTTCCGGGGCAAAATCTCTTGAAGCACATGGTCTCAAGCTTTGCGCTCGGTGGGACAGAAACTGTCAAGGACCGAATCTTGTATAGTTAAAATATCGATGATTCAAATTTGTTTTTACTGAAATTTGACTTTGATGAATTTTTGCAGCCTCACCCTTTTTTTAACGCAAAATTATGCAATTTTACAAATTTCAAAAGAGATTTTAATATTAATAATTTTCAGTACTAATTGCCATTATATTTCTTTACTTTTAACTTTTAATGTTTGTACTATTGACAAACTAAGTTAATTTATTAAGTACAAAAAAATAATTTTTGTACGCAAACATTTTCATCGACAAAATTTCAAACAGCTTATTCATTTTGGTATCCAGAAATCATTATTTCCATGTTTTATTATCTTTAATACTTTTTTTAGTTTGTTTCTAATTATCTATTGAAATTGTTAAAGGTATTAAATTATTCTATAATAGCTACGCATGTATTTTAGTATATATGTCTTTTAATGTATTAAAATCATATGTCTAGTTTAAAATTTTAGCGTGTTTTTTCTTCAATTTTTAAACTAATTTATTAATTGTGTTTTTTGTTCCTTGCAGGTAACATCTATAGTCCAATAGTTAACTGTGTAAGTACAAATTTAATTAACTATTTTATTTTATTCTTATAGACTTTATTACGAAGTAGCAATAAAACAAAAATAATAAGAATTAAGAAATAAAATAAATGGAAGTAAATTTATGAAAAAATTGCTTAAGTATAGTTTATAATTTCTTGTTCGAGCTGAGATTTTTAGCTTTAGTAACATGACATAATTTAAAACTAAATAAAATGCATTTTCATTAAAAATACATGGTAATCACGATAGGGATCATACATATAATTTTCTTGAAGAACTGTCAGAAGGAGATAGAAATTTTTTCAAAAAAAATTTTATTACTTAAAGAGTATGAAAATGTGCCATGTTACAGTCTCCCAATAAACGTGTTTTTGTAAAATCTCGTGTGTAAGAAAGTGACATCTTCATTTTTAAATCGTTACTATTTATTGTTGTAAAAGGGTTTCTAACACGCTGGTAGTGAAAGAGATCGGCCAACTTACTATTGAGCGAATCAATTCAGCTAATTTTAACTTAGAAATTAGAGTAAGTGTGCAAAGCAATTCTATCTCTTAGCATTCATAAAAAAGTAAAAGTGTAAGAATTTGATATTTTTATTCCAGGACGTCTGTTGTAATTTAACATTGCGACTTTATTAAATTTACTAAGAAACTTGAAACAGAAGGAAAAATAATTGCACAAATGTTTCTGCATTTTTTTTTTTTTTTTGCATAAACACGATACTTTTATAATATGTGTATTTATATCTGAATTTTAGCCACAATGTTTTTTCAAAGCTAAAACTAGTTGTTAAGAGATAGAAATATTCACTTTGTGCAAAACATATGTGTACTACTTTTTTTGTAAAAAAACATCTTACATCATCGCAGTATTAGCCCGTTCCGAACAACTGTTGCGAAAATGCAACATTTTGTAACATGTTGAAAGCATCATTATAAAAAAAAATTGCACACTTATGCTCAAACTGATTTGGAATTTTCTAGTTCTAGCAACCACTTTGGTTTTAAGATATTTCAAATTAATAATTTCCAATAAAAATACCGATTTGTATGTTAATAATATATTATGGTAAACACGAATGCCTTTTCCACGATTAATTTAAGGAATCAAACAATTAACAGTAAATAATTCCAGATCAAAGGATACCATAGAATCAGTTTTATTGAACATGTTAAGCTGTAATTTTCCTGTAGTAATACCGTAAAATCACTGAATCACTCTGATTAAATAAATATTACTGTGAAAATTATTGTATTATATTTTACGGTAAAAATGGCTTTATGGATAATGCACTCCGAATTACCGAAATTCTGCATTTTTTACAGTATGGCCGACTTTATCTTCTTGAAGTAATTCGTGGGGCTCATTCATTCGGTGAACAATCATTCGGTTCTCTCACCACTAAGCTAAATTTCAACCCTTAAAACATAAATTTTAAATTCTTCTTAAATACTGACAGCAACTGTTTGAAATGCTTAGGCTTGCATTTTCGTTAAAATGTCTCTCCAAAAAGTTTTTTCTCCAAATATCTTACCACGATATTGTCAAATTGTTTTAAGTCTCCAACATGGTTCCCAGATTTCGGTTGAAAAATTTTATAGGAAAATTACTAAAGCAAAACAAATGAAATTAGGCTAAAAATTCCCTCTCAGCTGAAGTAAGTAAGTCAACAAAGAATAAAAAATTGTCAATGGAACAATAGTTTCATTAAACGTTTTTTTTTTCGAGGAAGAAAATTTTAAATATATATCGTATTTTATTTCTGATTAAAATCACGCAATATTTTATATATTTTTTTGGCAGCATTCTTACTTTTATTTTTTTTTCAACAGCAATCCTACAGCGAGGGTGGAGCAAGAGGTGATGCAGGTGATGCTGCTTCTCTTGGTTTCGATGGAGTACTCGCAAGGCACGATGGCTATGTGAAAGGCGAAACACCAACGATTCCTCAAACTAGCTTCAGTTGTTCAGCCCAGCCTTATAATCCTGGTCTTTATGCTGATGTGGAAACACAGTGTCAGGTAATGCAAAATAATTCAATATATTTTAGTAATTTTAGTCGTGTAGTTGAATGTGAACGTGTTTCACACTACTTCAGCTGCATAAAATGTACAAAATTACATTTTAATTTGTTCGCTTTGTAAATACTAGTTATATTTACGAAACAATACTACTTAATATTTGCACTTTTTTTAAATATAAGTGCAATTCGGAAACTGACTTCCGTTTTCCCGTAAATTGAAACCAGAATAGATTATTAAAAAAACTTTTATTTACATCTGAAGGATACCGTTGTGCACTTTTTTCTATACAGTCAGTTTTCAATATACTATTTTTGAATACAGTCGATACATAACCATTTCCACTCCCTTGCTACAAAGTTTTTCAAACTTGTCAAAACCTTCGGCACAAATCTCACCCATCTGTGAAGTTCGAAAAGCACTCCGAATATGAGTGTTATCTACAGCAATGTCACTATTAATCTCAGCAGATCACAATGATTGCTCTGGGTGGCTCTTTTAAGTTTCTTCATAGTATTGTAGTAAGCTGCTGATCTCGTTGTAAAACCATGTACTACAGTAGAACACATGTCAGGCAGTTCTATAGTCTGCTTGGTGCTACAATGGTAATGATTGAATCACAAATGCTTACCTCACGCCACAACGAAAATAAGTTTCTGAATTGCCTTCTTATGAGATCTATTTTCTAAAATCAGCTGTTGAAAATAGATTGTAACAATTTCTGTTCTACTTTGAAACCTAACTTAATTTTTCTTTTCACAAAATGTATTCCATTTTTTTCTACGTCAGCTGAGTTTCATACATAAAAGCATGATACAAGATTTTTGTTTCGCGCTTGTAACAAAATATGACTATTTATAAATTTTGAGAAAAATTGTAGAATTTATTAATAAATATAGGCTACCCAGTTAGCACAGTGAGAACCGTCATCGGTGTTCGGTGCCTCACGATGAAGGCAAGGCGTATAGTTGGATGGTGAATTTTTTGATTATCTGTTACAAGAAAACATTCAACGCTGCTCAGACTTTGGAGAAAGTGGACCATGGCAATCATGGAGTCATTTTTCATAAAGTCGAAGAAAATCTATGAATTTGATTAAACTCTTCTCAAGCGCTGAACAACAGAGAAGAATTGGGTAAAAAATGTCTTTTGAACAATCTACAATTCAGCAAAACTCCCCCTTAATATGGGAAAATGCACTCGTTAGTGGTTCGAAATCCAGTCTTATGCAATGTATCAGATAGTTTCAGAAACTGAATGATGAACTCAATAGCTATTGCAACATACATTACAAAAAAAACACTCTCTATATCGAGAAACTTAATCTGTTATATTCTTTTTCAATTTATTTGTGTCTAAATAAATGTATATTAAAAAAAAGATTTCGAAATATACGTCAATAAAGGTATGATTCAACTTTCATTTGTTATAATAAGACTCGAATTCTAGCAGTTCTCAAAATACTAACTCCAATTAATTTTTCAATTTTAATTTCACTATCTTTGCTGAGAATTATATACTTGTAATAATTGCTTTCTTTCTGTGTTTAGGTGTACCATGTTTGCTTCGAAGACCGTCAAGAAAGCTTCCTTTGTGGCCCAGGGACGAACTTTAATCAGAGAATTCTTGCATGTGATTTCTGGTACAATTTCGACTGTCAAAACAGTCCGTCATTTTATAACGTAAATGCTGATATTGGAAAAACTCCAGATGCAGTATTTAATGTAGGACAAGGCCGTGAACCACAACAGCCATCTTATCCAAATTTTCCTAGACAGCCAGAACAACCACCGTCTGGAGGATCTTTCCCTTCTCGAGTTACTGTTCCTCCACCACCACCACCAAGAGTGCAGCCTCCAAGACCTAATGAATATCAGCCTCCACAGCCACAACCCCCAAGAATACAACCAGATCAACCACTATTTAGGCCAGACCCTCCCCGACCTCAACCTAGACCTGAACCTCCTCGAATTCAGCCACAACCCCAACCTGAACCTCCTCGATTTCAACCTCGACCAGAACCTCCTCGATTTCAACCCCGACCTGAACCTCCAAGAATAGATGTGAAACCTCAATATCCTTCACAACCTACCGCTGTCGGTCAGGGTGGTAGAGTAACACCACAAAGACCATCTATTCAACAAGAAGAAGATTCTGGATACCAATTTGAAGGCAACAATCCTCAACAGCCTGAATATCTTCCACCACCACCACCACCCAGACCACAAACGCCGAGACCTGTTTTCCCACCAGTGGTATCTCCTCCACGTGTATCACGACCCCCTTTGACTCCCGCAGTTATACGCCAGCCTGAAGGCAGCATATCTCGTCCAAGAGTTCCTACATCTGATATTCGACCAGATTTCCATCCTGATTCAAATCTTAAAGGAAATGTTGATTACGTACCACAGCAACCTCGTCCTCCTCAACCTCCACGAATACCACAACAGCCACGTGTACCACAGCCAAGTCGGCCAGTTGGTACAGGTTATCCTAGTTATCCTGTTTCACAAAGACCTATTAGTCCTAAACCAGAACCACAAAGACCTGTGAGCAGACCTTATCAGCCTCCTCCAACACTGCAACAAGAACATATAGATACAGAATATATTCCACCACAACCAAAAGAGCCATCAAGACCTAGTACATCTTTTATTCCTCCTCCACCACCACCCCGTCCAATTCAACAAGAAGTTACTGCTGTTCAACCATCTTCAAGACCATACGTTCCTCCCCCACCACCACCCCGTCCAATTCAACAAGAAGTTACTGCTGTTCAACCACCTTCAAGACCCTACGTTCCTCCTCCACCACCACCCCGTCCAATTCAACAAGAAGTTACTGCTGTTAAACCACCTTCAAGACCATACGTACCACCTCCACCACCACCACCACGACCTATTCAACAGGAAGTGACTCGCGTTCAACCACCTTCCAGGCCATATGTTCCCCCTCCACCACCACCACGTCCTATTCAGCAAGAAGTAACTCACGTTCAACCACCTTCCAGGCCATATGTTCCCCCTCCACCACCACCACCACGTCCTATTCAGCAAGAAGTAACTCGCGTTCAACCACCTTTACCACCACAAAGACCTATTGATCCTGATTATGGCAGACCTCAACCACCAGTTGCTCCATCAATTATCAGAGAGCAACAAAAACCAGCAGTTGTACCTCCCAGTAGACCTCAGGTATCAGAAGGTGGAAGACAATCCCGTCCACCACAAAGACCTAAACCAGTTTTCCCACCTCCTTCAGATCATCCAAATGCCAATATTAAAGGAGGCCCTGGTTATCAACAACCTCCTCCCCAAATTCCCCGATTTGAACCTACCCGAATAAGCAGACCATCTGCACCCCAAGGCGTTAGGCCAAAGCCCGAGGTATCAGTAAATGCGGTAAAGCCAACTGGTGATAAAAGACCTAGTGCTACAGGAACTGGGGGATATAAAGTCCCTCAACAGGAAAGAATAAAGAAACCAAGTGAGCCACCAAAAGCAATCTATCAACCTCCAATTCAAGTCATAGATCATCCAAGAAGTGAAATCAAAGGCACTGGTTACGAGAGCACTGCCTCCCAACAGCCCCAGAGAATTAAATCACCTTCTACATCTTCGGGTGTTAAACGGCCCCAGCCAGAAAGACCCAGAGCACCTGTTGTTGTTTCTAGACCTCAACCACCTTCACTACCAGCCACAAATATAAAAACAGCAAGTAGAGTTGATAATCAAATTTATGAAAGACCAAGACCTCAAGCAGTAGGTTCAGGTCGCGTCAAAACTCAAAGTCCATCCCAAAACCGACCGGTTTCCCGTCCAACCTGCTCAGGTGGTTCAGGTGGACCAGGATGTCCTAGACCCATCGATCACCCTAACGCTAATATAAAAGGTGGTTCATACCCAGTGAGTCAAGAAAGAAGACAGCCGACAGGAAGCGTAAGAAGGCCGTCAGTCGGTAGAGGAGCTGGTGGCTGCTCTTCAGTATCTGGTGGTTGTGGTCGTCCAGCCGAACAAGAAATTATTCGCCAACCAAACTATGAACCACAACGCAGACCACAAGCAAGCACGGGAGTCAAGACAAAACAGCCATCAGTATCACAACAATCTGTAATTGCTAAGCAACCTAAGCCAGAATACGGAGATGGTTCAAGCTACACAAGAGGACCTGATGTTTATCCAAAACCTGGATTCGGTCAACCTAATGCCCCTTACCAACCTGTTTCGACTCCATCTAGAAGTAGCCATACAGTTAAAACGGCCTCTCCTTCTCAAAATACTTTAACACAAGCAGATAATAAACCAGATTACCAACGACCTTCAGTTGCTACTGGATCAGGAGGAGCAGTAAGGCCAGGGTATCCCAACAGGCAGATTCCAGGTCATCAACCACCTAATCAACCTCAAGTATTCCCTCATAGAGAAAACCCTGATCATCCTAATGAAAGCTTGAAAGGAAGTGGAGCATACAGGCCTCCTCCTCCAGCAGGTTTTCAAGGATCAGCCTCGGAGGTTCAGCCACAACAAGTTGCACCAGCACCTGAGCCTGAACCAGAACCATCAAAATTACTAGGAGATATTGGTGCAGAGTAAATAGCACTGAAACTAGCGAGAAAGCCACTCCAATGACCACTAGAGGGTGGTCAAGCCAACTGCAAATGAGTTCTTTACTTCCTGAACTTTAAAAAAAAGATCTCATCTGCGGAGAGTGGCTGTTAAAATCTAACACTTCAAATCGCACAAAAAATGTGTTTTATGTTTGTAAACTATTTTACTTTAATTATTTGTTTTTTACATTTAAATGATTTTTTTTACATTTTTGTTATCATAATCTTCACAGTTGTTTATTTTTTTTAAAAGAACAGATTTGTTGTTTCTTGGAAAAAATTATTAATTTATAAAATAAAAAAATTCTGATGATGTTTTTTAGGAGAAGAAAAAAAAATTTTAAATATGTTTTCTTATGATTTTACGATGATATTTACGATATTTGTTTTTCAAAAAATCGGCTACTCTTTGCATGTTTGTTTATTTTAAAAAATTGCTATTTGTTTGAAAAAAAGCTAATGCTTTGAATTATTTCATGGTAAAAAGCTTCATTAATTGTCATATAATTAACTTAATTTTTTAATTCTTGAAATTGTTATTAATTAAATTTATTTATTTATTTACAATAATTTTGAGTGCCTTTCTGAATCAAATTTTGTACTGTGATAGTAAAATGCAGAATGTTGTAAAAAATGGATTTGTAGAAATTCGAAAATATACATACTATTTAAGTGACGGATGATTAAGGAGAATTGTTGTGGCTCCTTGTACACTTTTATTAATGTAAATAATATTTCAGATACTTTTGTTTAATTTTTTGTAATGTCCATGTTCAGGCTTTGTTGTATTTTTGAAAAACAGATGTGAATGCTGATCTTTTTCTGGGGTTATTTGAATAACTTATTGTTAAAAATAGGTCCCTGCTTTTTTCTTCGCCGGTTCCTTTTTCACGCCAAACTAGTAATTTAAAATCATTTTATAATTTACAAATGAGCTCTTATGACTAAGTCAATTAACTGCTCGAATAAGTGTTCAAGTCATACCTGTATCAAAATAGTAGTCATTAAATAGTTGTTATTCATGAAAACTGAAAAATAGCAATTAATATTTGTTACTCACGATTTCTAAAAATAATTTTTAAACAAATGTGACTTGCAAATTTTAAAAGAAAGCAGTCATCAATTAAATATGTAGAACTGAAAAGATTTTAAAAAAAGTCAATAAATAAACATAAGTGGAAAAATTAAATTCATTAACTAGATGAGTTGTCGTTAAATGCTATGTAGACAAAAAATTAGTTGCAAGTTGTTAAAAAGTAGTCAAAAACATAGTCATCAAAATAATATGTGACGTGTGAAGTCAAAAAATAGTCATTAGAAATGTGTGTTTAGTTACTTTAAATGTTAAGTCATTCGATGAGGCTTCTAAAAATAGTCATTGAAATTCGTGATGATGAAAGAAAAAAAATAGTCATTAAAACACGTGGCTTGCGAAGAAGAAAGCAAATTGTTCCTTCATTTCCATAGAGGCTAGTCTGATTTCTGAAACATTTATGATTAAATTAATGGACACTATTGAATACAATAAAGTAATTCCACAGAAATCTTACTGCCCGTGGAAACACTGATGCTTCTGTCCAACATGTTGTGCTTTTTTGTATGTACCATGATGTAAAAGTCTATTAAAATGTTTTATATTTTTCTTATTCTTCTTATGTCTCAATTTTAATATTCTACATTCACGCTAAAAAAAGTAAGAATAATGCAAAAAGACAAGAGTAGTTCAGAGTCTTGCTAACAGCAATATGCTGGATCAAACTAAATCAACAACTATCATAGAAATTTCCTTCTGATCATACAATGAAATGCCCACTAATATTGCTATGCGCTTAACATAATGGTCCCTAAACAGTGATAGGGGAATTATATTTTCTTAGCGTTAACTGAACGCGTTGCATACGTGTAACTTTTCCAAAAAAAAATTTTTACAGTTGTTATATATTGAAATTTTAAAAAAGTGGTAGAAAGGATTTCATAAAAGTTGGAGCAAACTTGTCACCATAGCTACAACTTCAATTTAAAAGAAAATGCGCCCGATGATTGTCGTACTGATTACGTATATACGGAGTCATTTATATTTGCGGTAATCAAGAATGGATAATTTCTTCGAAAAACATAACAGAAATGAAGCAGTTTAGCTACCAGTTTTGTATGGATCGCTGAAATTTCAAAAACGTACAATGAGTTGAAGTTTTAAAGTGAAAGTACAGAGATGCCAACTGCTCCGGACACGCCAAAATAATTTTTAAAAAACGGTAAATAACTACAAAGTAAATTTTTCAAATATTTGACTATTTTTGCTTGCTTTTTAAAAGGTGTAGCATGCATGACATAAGTACTCATACTCATATGTGGTGGTTATCTTAGCATCAGCCCGGCCAGGGTCTCTAACTAATTCATCTGAGTGACATAAGTACTATAAAGTGGTGAATTGTATAAGCCTACGAATTATTTAGCAATAGTGGTGGATAAAAATCTACAAAATTGAAGAGTCACAATTGATAAACTACCACTTTAAAATATTTATTTGTTGTCCTGGGCAAGTTGGCATCTCTGAAAGTATCTCTCGTTTCATCTAAAATGAGACAAGTAAAAAAAATTAAAAAANATGACAAACAAGTTATAACTCATCATGCGTCTGCCATTGACCATATTTTACGTCAGGAGTAGAATCAAAGAATTATTAAGATCCTTGATTCGAATCTGGGTCATCTCATTGGAAGGCGAGCACCTTGCCCCTGGAGCCAATGCGGATTCACGGTTCTCTAAACCAGTCATGTCAAAGATACGGTGGTACAGGTTTTTGCTTCTGACATAAGTACTACATAGTGGTGGATTATATAAGCTTACGAATTATTTAGAAATAGTGGCGGATGAAAATCTACTAAATTGAATTTATTAAACCAAGAATAGCAATTGATAAACTACCACTTTAAAATATTTATTTGTTATCCTGGGCAAGTTGGCATCTCTGAAAGTATCTCGTTTCATCTAAAATGGGACTAAAAATATCATAACTCTTTTACTTCTGTTCTATTGAAGTGGGTGATTTATACCTGCCAACTTTTACTCCTTTCGAGATTGATTTTTCCCAGTAGTAGTAAAATGGAATTTAAATTACAATTTTAGGCAGAAACATTCGTTGTATTTTGAATAAGCTACAACAGAGTATCATGGCAGTATTGCTTATTAATATGTATGCTTAATTTTTTTTTAAAAAATTGGAGTCAAAAACATTATAAATTAAGTTTATAAATACAAGAAATATATACGAAACCTACATTTTACTAACACTTTAAATATAGAAATAAAATTTTACGCCAAATGCGTAAAAGTTGTCAGGTATGGAGATTGAAGTGATAACGATATAACAATTGATTTTTCTATTGTAAGCAGTAGTTATAAAAGCCGAGAAAATGCTTAGTATTTTTTGAAGATTATTGTAAATTGTTTTGAAGAATATTATTAGGCGTGCAAAATCACTATAAATCAACTTTGTTAAAAAAAATACAAAAATACTAACTTATGCATTTGCACTTTAAAAATATAATAAAAATTAGGTAAGAATTTTGACCGCTACCTATTTTATTAAGTTGTTTGTTGCTACCTTAAGTGTCGAGATGTTGACAATAATTAAAAATCAGTGGTATGCCTTACTCTAGGAGAAATAATTTCACCAAGATTAAGAGAAAAAAAAATGGTGTGGCATACGTCGGATAAAGACCAAATTTTGTAGCATTTGATATCTAAGCACAAAGCTATTAATAAATTAAAGCTTTTTTTATTGCTAACCTGTGAAAGAAAAAGCAAGGAAGAAAAACTGAAACAAAAATTTAAAAGAAAAAACTTAAGCTAAATAAAAGTTATTTGATAATTACCGTTAGTCTCACAGAGCAAAGGCACCGAACATTAGTAGTAGATCTCTATAAATTATTATACCTTATACATTTTACGTTTTTTATACTGAATAACTGGTTTACTATGAATTTAAGCATAAAAATAAAATTTTACGGAAAATCCACAATAATTGACACACATTCTAACTTTCATGAATCTTACTAATACTTATTACTCCAACCAGCAGTATTATTGCTCTCAGGTCTGCTATTTCTATTGAAAAGACTAAATGCATTTGTAGAAAGAATGTTTGGTTTCTATTTACTTTTACGAATAACGTAATCTATTAATCTCTCTGTGCCCGTTAAATTTTTTCTTGGTTGTGAAGAGAATAATTGGTTAAGAAATTTCCTATGCGGTTGGACTTCGAATTCGGGCCATTTCTCATGTCTGACAAAAAATACTTTTTTAATGATGAAATTTAATAGATTTGATAATTATAGATAATTGTGATAGATAATTGTGATTTCCAAAAATACATACGATTAAGAGTTATTATGTTTTAAGAATTTGTCAAACGCTTAATTTTCTATCAATTGTTAATAAACAGCAATTGTAGAAAATGAGTAGCCCTAAACGACCAAATCAAATTTCCTTTTTATATTTAACCAATTGCTAATATACAAAATAATTTCAAACCTCTTGCGCATTTGAAAAAAATTCTTAATAAATCCTAAAGAGTCTTTCATTTTGTAACAAATCAAGAAGAAATCGTTAAATAGTTCTTTTAAACTTCTTGGTGCCTGCATTATCTAAGAAAAAACTGTTACTCTAAATAATCCTTCTTTAAATTACTCAATCGATGATACTAACACTTTTTATTATTGCTTTCATGATTCAAAACATTTTAAAAAGCAATCTTAAAATGAAAGATTACTTTTAAAGATTTTCGGATTCTCAAAATTGAGTAATTTTTTTTATGTTGTCAGGTCTTTTATCAATTTTTAAATTTTATTGAAACTAGTTATAAAGCATAATGTTAGAAGCTTAGTTTAGAAGCTTTACTAGCTATAAAGTAAGTCTACGAAGTGGAGCGGCAAGTACGAATGATTTGTCTTTATCTAGAAAAAAATTCATTTACAATAAAAGTTATACATTTATGGCTTTTCAGGAATGATTATGGGATTGTACGCAACTAGAGACGCGGTGGCTCAGGGGAGAGAGCATTCGCCTTCCAATGAGGTGAACCGGGTTCGAATCCCAGCGATGACTGGATGATTTGAATGCCACACCTGGTTCGCATCAACCACAGTGCTGACGTAAAATATACTCAGTGATAAGCAGATCATAGGTTAGAGTCCCCTTGCTATCAGGATAGCCGTGGGAGGTTTTCCTCTCCACGTAAAGCAAATGCGGGTTAG